ACGACTATCGTTTCAAAGTGACGTGATTCATGTCCAGAGTTTTCAGACAGTAAAATACATACTTTTTGTTCGATATAGAACAATCCAAGGGAGTGAAGAGTGAAGAGAGCATTAAAAATCAGACGTTACTTATTTTGGACCCCCCTAACATATACGTCTCACAGATTTTTGGGAAATTTAGTAATCTTTTAGACTCAGCATATTCTACTTATCAAGTTTATTAATTGTATGATGAAATCTATATTATTAAACGTGTGATATATTTTTAATAATTTAAAATGCATGTTTGTATGTATATATATACATTAGGGCGGGTCGATTTTTTCCCCATAAAATCGCATATGCGGAAAATGCTCTACGTATCATTCTGAACAACTTTGCTTAAGAAACTAAAACCAATTTCGAGCTAGCGAATTTTAAGGGGAAGTTTCATATCAGGTAATACAAAATTTTGTGGGAAAATCTTAAAAAAAATAGCTGATTTATGAGTGTAAGGGTACAAAAAGCAGTTAATTTTTTTTAAATACTTAAATAACTAAGTTTTTAAGTGCTGCTTGCTTTTTAAACGTGGCATTTTTTGTACTAACATCAGCCACAGCCATAACACTTTCACGATTTTTTCCGTTACGCGCCGAGAAACACTGGTTAGCAGTTAAACGTATCGTTCAGTTCCTTGTATGTGGCATAGAACTTGTGGGTCAGGAGGTGATGGGTCTTCAAATTCTAAATATTCCTTCAAATGGTTATGCGGAATGTAGTAATTGGCGGTTCTGTTAAAATATTGTCATCATCCAAATCTATCGTACTGAAATAATTGGAGCAGTCAAAATAAATTTTGCATTTCTTGTACTCTCTAAGTTCTTCTGTATCGCAAAGGTTGTAGCCCTCATTTTTTTTTTAAATATTGCATGTAGTGCAAACTTGACACCATACACCTGATCGATAGAATTGAGATATTGAAAATGTTATAACGGCACCAATTGTAGTTTTTTTCTTGTAAATTTGTTGTGGAAAGAAAAAATGTGTAGCTTTCGTTTAAAAAAAAAAAAAAATGGTAGGTAGTGCTAACTTGACACCAAACACCTAGTCGATAGAATTGAGATATACAATATGTATCTATGCCATTAATTGTAGCTTTTAACTTTAAAATTTGTTGCGAAAAGAAAAAATGTATAGCTTCCGTTTTTCTGGAAAAAGTTGAGTTGACCCTTTTTCGAACAAAATTTAGTATGTCGTGCTAACTTGACACCATGCACCATTGACGACAGAAAGCTACAAATTTTTTCTTTTCGCAACAAATTTTAAAGTTAAAAGCTACAATTAATGGCATAGTTACATATTGGATATCTCAATTCTATCGACTAGGTGT